GGGGGGCGGTGGCGGCAGCCCTGGGGGTGCGCGGCTTGCCCCGGCCCAGCCCCTGACCGGGTTCGTGCTGCAACGGGTTAACGTTTCAAAATCCTGTAGCAACGAACAGCTCAAATGGCGGTAGTTCCGGGTGGGGGCTTATTTCACTTAGCCAGGGGACAGAAATCCCCTTTCCCTCGAGCATTGCGCTCCACAGGTACCAACTGCCAAAAGCCTGTGAAATATTCAACGCCAAAACTAATCGCTGTTCGATGTCCCTGGGACTTGTGAATCGGCACCTACAGGGCTCCGGGAGCCAAAGGTCGTGTTTTTAAGAGGGAGTTGGTGGTACATAAAAGTCACAAAACACTCATTATCAATATATTCCTAAGCAGTAAAATAAAACATTCACAGCTTTGCCAACGGTAGTTATTGCATATAGCATTTATTTTTTTCCTAATTAAAAAGTTTCCCATAAGCATCAACAGCTAGCACATTCAGAAAGGTGTTGATCACGTTACTCCATGACACCCTGGAGCACAAACAGAAAACAAGCTCTATTTAAAAGGGACCATAACATTCTTAAGAGGTAGTCAAAGAGTCTTGTACTTACATAGTTTTAGATTAAAGGGGCAAAAGAAAAATAGTCGCATCTGTGAAGAATATTAATACTCAGTTTAAGCCAGGTATATCATTGACCCACAACATGTTTCTGCATGACTACTGCAGCTCCATTTCATTAAACTGCATATTTCCCATATCACACATTTAAGTTTACTCATACTAATAGACAGTGTCTTACACCTTCTAGCTACCATCCAACTGGTAGAGCACCCTACTGCTCAGGCTTTCCTTTTTAAGAAAAAGGCTTCATTCTGATGATTGAATAACAAACATTGCAGAACTGCAGAGCCACTGGGAAAGTAAGAATCAGTCTTCCATGAGTATTTTTTGGTAATTATTAACCTGGAATTCCATGTCATAAACATTAACTAGCAGCTAAGCAAGCTACAGTAAAGAGCAGTAAGTTAAGCACTTGGCTTTTTGAAAACACTCCAGAGGCTTCTCCTCAGATCATCTTCAATACTAAAAAAAAAAAAAAAATAATTAAAAATCAGTATGTTTAAATCCGAGTAATCTGGGCAGTCCAAATTGCAAAACTGAAAAAAGATCCAGTTGAGCAAAGAATGGCTTCAATTCCATTGATCTGTCACGCTTGAAGGGAATGTTGAAAAACTGTAACACAACTGCACCCTCTTCACTTCACAAATGCCCTTTTTTCCTGTTAGCTCACTGTAGGGAACAAGACGTGATAGGGGAAACAATGCAGTTCACCTTACAATCTTGAAGCTAGGAAAGCTGCAAAATCTTTCACAATGTGAATATTTAAATATTCCTTACACTTCAGAGTGCTACTCTGACTAAAACCAGGTATCCTTAAAAAGTATAATTAAAGCACTTATTTCAAGCGTCTCCGACAACCAGTCGGTGAAACAAATCCTCTAGAGAATGACCTGCATCCACAAGGATTGAATAAGAATTTCCACTGACAGCTTTGTAAGACTTCCATGGTTACAAAAAGCACACAAGCTATTACGCCTCCTCCCTCTTGTCCTCGTATGACACTTTTGTGAGGCAGACTGGAATGACTTGGGACTTAACGTCACCTCCAAAGACAACAGCTTTTCAGAAGAGATGCACTTAAGCCATCTTTCTATGTAATAAATACTGTATAAATCCATAGGATACACAGACAAAAATTTGACACTGGAAGAAATACACTTTTCACCAAGAAACTTGTTTCTTTGTGACAGATTTAGTTTAGAAAGTGCCCGTTGACAATGCAGTTCCATCATTTTCAGTTAACTACAGACATTTCAGTAGATGGCACCAGTGAAAGCCGACATAGGAGTCTAGGCACCAATGCCACCCTCTCCTCCCCATGACGCACTTCGGGGTCATTTAATAAAAGATTCCATTACCACTAACATGTAACCTAGTCTTAAAGTCTGACACAAATTAACTTTTGAAAGGTTTTAAGCTGTCATTACAGCATTTAAGTGGATGATGCAACAAACTTGCTGAAACATGCTAACAAATACGGGCTACATACTAATTGTGTGCAATTCAGAATATAACTACTGTTTTTCAGCACAAGTTCCTCCCAGCAGGTAGTACTATTCTTCACCTGTTCACTGAAAATAAAGGAAAAAATACGCTAAACTGCATTGCTATGAACAAGGCTACATATTATTCCAACTAGGAACCAGAAGATCCTCATTTTAACACCCCAGAACCTCCAAGACTTAAATTTGCTTCAGCACCAATTCCTTTTACGTCCATTACCTTCCAACAGAACATGGCTTTGCCATACTACACAGAACATCAAGAACATTCAAGCAATCTAGAGTCTACTCACATCAGTTATGAATTACACTTTCTCCAAAATACCTTTACCACTTCTGAACACTTCTCCTGTCGTAGAAATCAATTTACAAAATGTCACATCCACACTCAGAGAGGCCACTGGCCCAAACATCTCTAATTACTACATATATATATATATATATTTAAATGAATGAGATCTCCAAATCAAAGGGAAATTAGTGACTCCTGAAACTATCTTCTCTTGACAGGGCTCAAGCTGTATTCTAGCAACACGAGTTTTACTTTTAGAAGAAAACACCATTAAATGGTGAGTTTCCTACAATACTGTATCTTATCACAAAGCGAATCAGGTTTTGAAATAACTTTTATTAAAGTATGACATTCCAACTTCTCATGGTTTTAAATATTAAAATATATTAAATTTTATAGATTTAAGAAAAGATATGTTTGACAACAAGTTACCCATTTGTGTTCAAGATAACTTTGGGACTTCTACGCTTCTTGTAAACATCCACCTCACCATTAAATGATGAGCTGCAAAAGGTCAGAGGGGAGTAATTCTTTAGTAAGCCTGTTTCTCAGGCTGCATATCTTCATGGGCAGAAGAACTGTTGTGCTGTATGTTCATCCACAAGAACCGATACTAGAGAAATAAACCATTTGGTAAGCACATACACATTTCCAGAAGAAACAGTACTACTGCAGCGTGAAACTGTAGAATCACTCAGCCACCAGGAAAGACACCGGTAACAATGCCATCATTTGATAACATGGCCTATAGAGAGGACTGGCTACTCTATACCGCACTACACACATGGAAGCATCAGGACATACAGAACTACAGTCCTTCCACAAAGAATATGATTTTACTGAGAATAATACTTTTTTTTTTAATAAGGGAAGATTTGAAATGAGATGATCAGGATGCTTAGTATCTAGCTTAGGACGCACACGGAATCGGTAAAAATCCGGAAATTTACATGCATGTTGATACTCACTGCCCTGTGAACGTACCAAAAGGAAACAGGCTTAAGTGTCCAACTGACAGACTGGAACTTTACATTAACCTGGGTCAACATCGAAATTGAAGCAGGAGATAAGACAGCTCCAAAGAAACCATTCACATTTGTAATTCTACTTTCAGAGCAAGATCCAAACCTGATGGAATGGATGCAAGGTAAGTTGAAATTAGCACTGTTGGCTGAAAGAGACTATACAGCCTATTAATCTCTTTGAAAATGGGATACAGAAGCTACTATAACAGAAGCACCTAGGTCTTGAGATGAAGGTCTCCGAAGCGCAGACTTAAACTTCCAGAGACACTGGCAATTTGCCTTCATTTGTCATGAATATGCTCTCAGAGTCTAGATATGTATCACTAGAGACAGCAGATCAGTTGTTAACCGGTAGTAAGTCTTGACCATGGAACTCTCTCTTGACTGCTATTTATCAGTGTCAGAGTACTCCGGTTCAACCAACCTTATTTTTTCAACAGGAGAACTGTATAATACTAACTTTGAATATAATCGAGAACTGATGGTTTTGGCATTAAGACAAAATTGTGAGCACAATAAAAAAATAAAAGTAAAGATTTAATATTTTTGCTTCAATATTATAATTAATGCTCAACTCCTGAATGGATCTATTTGCATGCACCTGTCTTTACAGGGAAATAGCAACGATTACCAAAAGATGTTACAAACCTTTACAACACAGCAACCAGTGCTTTATTGTTGCCCTGATAAACCTACAAACACCTCTTACAGACACCATTGTGGAGAGAAAAAAAAAAAAACAAACAACCTTTAAATCAGTTTTTTGTCTTTGTTGTTAAGTGAAATTAGTGCTGGTACCATGTACCAAACTAAGAGCTTTGGAAATGGATGCTTCATGTATAAGGATGACCCAAGGTAGCATAAGACTCCCCACACCTCTGCAAACAAATGATATTATGGCTTGAATATCTGTGTAACTCCCCAGCTCTGCTGAGTATGACCAGAGTTCCTACTGGTGACAACTGATACTCATCCAGGAAGAACTGCAATGAACTCATTTCCTACTGCTAGCCAAGACAGCCTTGATTTACCAAAGCAGAATCTGAATTTGCAACTTCAGTTGAGAAAGGTCTGATATCTTACTAGTCATTCAGACAGTTCAGCTTCTGTTGGGGCCAAGGCATAAACCCTTTGGCCAACAGACTGAAGTTCTCAGAACGGCAGTTCTGCGTTCTGAAAAATGGACTAAAAGACACCAAAGCTCAAGCTCACTGTAGTGAGGTAAATAAGTACTGTTCGTATTAGGTATGTGAACAAAAATAAGGAACTCCACACTTGTGAAAGACTACATTATGTGATTGTTAATATCCAAATTCAGGTTTCTGTGACAAGGAAGAAATGCACTTGACCATTTACAGCAAAACAGATTTATACAATAACAAGTAACTTATGGCCTTGTCCACCTGCAAACGAATTCCTTCAGCAGGTACGCACAACATATTGCTTAGTCATAAAAATATATATTATCTCTTTCCTTTAACATTTAGGTATATAAATATTTTACTGAAGAACATGCATCATTTAGATAAACAATTGCAAGAACATCCTCTGAAAACATAAGGTTCTTTGACATCTAGCATTAAATGGTTACATAAAACATAGCTATTGAAGTCAAGACAAACCAGTACAGCAGTAAGCAGTCCATTGTGTGCTAGTCCAAAGAAATGAAGCACCTTTTGCAACAGGTTATATGATATATACACACAGAGAATGCATAGGGTACGGAGCAAAACCAGCATCATTCCATCTGCACATTCTTCAGTGTTGTTTGGACTCCAAACTTACTGGTCACTTTTCTGCTCTTGTTTTCCATTCAGCTCTTGGTCAACTCTGCTTAGCAAAGAAAGCAGTAAAATTAAAACTATGTTAAGTAGTTTAGTTTGATAGCTCACATATTAAGTAAAAGCTATTAATCTTAACAGGAAAACACAAAGCTTCTACGTGGAAAAAGTTTTAGTAAATAAATATTAAGATTTTTGTCGAATGCAGTCACAACAATGCTTCAGAAAAAAAAAAAAAAATCTATTCTCCTACCTCCCCCTAGAAATTAACCAAAATTATTAAGAAACCATTTAAGTAACTATAGCATTTAAAAGGAAGCATTTGAAAAGTGCAAGTGAAGTTTGACTACAGAAGAAAAAAAGCAGCTTCTGTGCTTCTATTAATGAACGCAAGCAGGAATACAAGTTTGCAGGAATACAAGTTTACAGGTAACATGACTATTCCATCAAGCACTACTACTTTGATGAATTCATACACTGCACAACAAGCACAGCATTACCTCTGACTTTACAGTAATTAAGCCAAGAAGGTAACACCACTAGTCCAATCAACAAAAGTTAAGTGGCTCCTTAACTGCAATACCTTTTCTATTAAGTTCTAAGGCTCTTGCAATTGCCCAGGAACAACGCACCATCACGCTGGTGAATCTGTTTTTCATGCGTGCCTTTTTTTTTTCCCTTTTGGTATCTGCCTTGGGACTAGCAACCAAAACGTTGCTTTGCAGAAACCAGTGGATGATTGACAGTCCTGCATGAGATGCTCCTTTCCTCTTCACACGAAGAACAAACTACAGTCTTAACTATATCTTCTGGAAAGTAAGTTGTGTGTGGAGGTAAGTTAATTTTAAAATTAAGAGCAGTTCCAAAGTAAGGGAGGCTAAGGCAAAGTTTGTCTTCTAACAACCTAATTGTCTAACCTACCTGTCCAGTCTCTCAAACTAAAATCAGACAGTTTTTTAAAACTATAAAACCAATGACAGCTCTTCTAGGCCATGAACCCATAAAAAGGGGAGGGAAGGCTGGGTTGGTTTGGGTTTTTTGCAGCTGTAAGAACTGAACTTAGTACGTAAGGATCCCATAGGTCTGGAGCAGTGCTGTCTAGAAGCAACAGTCCTAGTTGAACACCTCTTCACCGGCACAGCGTGTGGCTGCAACTCACCCCTGTCCTTACTGCACTATCTTAGAAAAGCATGTTTTGACTTATAGGACTAATCATAGAAAGTGTAAGAAAATATGGTAAGCTAATGCACAGAAGCTATGCATAAACATGCTGCTGACAATATAAATCCATAGAAATATATAATATTCTAGCTTCCAAAGTGACTCATACACATAGTCAAAGAATTTCTACTGCCATCCTCAACAAATTCAGTAACTAAACTTCAACACATCTCCTTTCCCCCTATTTATAATAAATAATGCCTACAACTTTTTTCAACCTGATTAAAGTCTCAGTATCAAACCAGTGCCTGTGATCTCTCCTCTATACATAAGCTTCACTGAGGAACATAGACTTTTTTACAAAAGTGGTGGTACTATAAGTGATATCGACAGGGACACTAAAAAGTGCTTGTACTGGAGATTTTTTTTAAAGTTTTTCTATTACTGTTTGAATGTCTTAGGTTTACATCCTGAATACAATAGGCCTTGCAATAGAATTGGGCCAAATTATGCACATTGGGGAAAAAAATCAAGCGGAACTGTTGCTCAACATTCAATAAGAAAGGGTTTCTTAAATTTGACTGGCCTAATACTTCCGGTTACACACTGCAAAATTATCATTTAATTGGAATAATTCCTAGAGAATGTTCAGCACTTGTCACTAGCTTTACCTGCTAGCTTTCATAAATAATTCAAATTCCTTTTATTTTAATCTCTCAGTGTTCTTCTCTATGTCCATTACCCAATTTGGACAACAAGCCTTCCTCAATAGTTATGCAAACACAGGAAGAGTAATTAAAAAAAGCAAAAAGTTAGTAACAAAACCTTTCAGTACACGTGTTAGTGAGAGTGAAGAATAATGTATCCATTAAAACAATTTCATCAGCTGCTGGAATAGCTTGAATAGTTAGCAGGAGACTGAAAATTAACAAAAGGAAAATCCAATGTTTATTAGCAAGGAACATAGGCACTGCAAATACAAACAGCACTAAAAATACTAATTTAGATTGCATCTATGCAAGTTAATAACTAAAAACGTAGTGACTACCAAAAATACAACGGAAAAGATCCGACATTAGAACTTATTCCAGAGTTAGATTTCTGCTGATGCACAGCTACCGCTTAGCACCTGAAAACAGCTCTCTCTCTTCAGACATCACTTCTCGCTACAAACAGTGAAACCTGGGTTAATCGATTCATACAGAAGCACTACTTTTGCCTCTTCAAGATTCAGTTGAGAATCCATGCATCACCTTAAAAGTGAGTATCTCATGAAATAGAGATTATTCACAAAAATCTGTTTGAACATCCAGGGCGGGTTCTTTTAGATGATATGCTGTACTTGCAGGCAATATAGTTACTTTCATGCATAAAAACTTAGTCACTAGTGCATGTTTATATTTACAAATGCTTATTCCTTTATGCAAGCCAATCAACTGGGAGTTAGTTGCAGTGCAAATTGTCTTATCTAGATGCAACCCTAATCAAAATATGAATATACCTTTTCTGTTTCTTTCTAAACTTTTCTTCTTCATACCTTGGTGAGGAAAAGTTTGATTTCAGTAAATATAACAGATGAAGGCCAAATTCAACAGAAGCTGCAAACTGGCATTAGTGTCAACAAGGTTTGTAGAAACATACCAAGTTTTGAAATCGATATAATCAAGAAAAAAATACATTGTACCTTCGACATTTACAAACATTAAACAAGAAGCATTAGGTTTTAGTTACTATGACATAGCATATGAAATCAATACAGCTTCTCGTACAGTATTAACATCCATCACTAAGATGTCTTTGCAGAACAGTTAAAGGTTCATCAATACAGAAAGAGCCTTTCAAGACTTGGCACGACAGTCCGAATATTCATAACACATCCTTCAAAAGCCCCAGTAAAAAAAGATTCTAAAGATAGCACAAGGCTGCTTCAGCATTGTCATGTCTTTCCTTCCCGTCCCAAGAAAGCTGAATTTTCTCTATTTTATAAGAAAAATTGTGCAACTGATACCAGCTGAACGTTTACTGCAATAACTAGCCATTTGCATGGGTGAGGGGAGGATTTGTGGATTTGTCCAACATGGTGGTTGTGCCCTTCTGCCCACACAGTGCCATCTCTCCTTACGGAGTTCCCAGTTTGTGATCACCTACGGTGATGCATACTCTATAGGTTGGGTATGTTATACTCTCTAATAGGCTGACCAATTTGTCATCAGAATTGTTAGTACTTTCACCTGGCTTTGAAGTTTATGGTTTCTACTCTACTACCACACCCACAAATGCTACTGACAAAAGTATCGTCCTCATATTTGAAAACAGGGTCGTGCTGACTTTAAAACATATTTAGATCTGGAGGGAAGGAAGAGGAGAAAACCAAGGACAGCGATGCTGCCTTCACCTCTTCACCGAAGTAGTTTTAGAACTCTTATGGGTAGGGATTCAGCATTTTTCCAGCACAGCTCTTCTTTTAAATGAAATCCCCACCCAAGGGATATTTCACCACTTAACTTGTTCTAACATTTTAGCATGAACACTGCAGATGCTGTAACGTGACTACCAACACGCCCAGAACTTCTCACTCACCAGCCAGTTTAGGACACTACAGGGTAGGACTGGCATGAAGCCTTGTCTCTAGAAGACAATTCACACACCGTAACTCGGTAATGACGTAAGACACCACCTGCGAAAATCCCTGTATGTTAACGTTTGGACTATCCATGCTGCTGCATACCAAACGGTAGTCAGCAGCGTCGTCAAACATGGGTACTCCTCCTAGAGGTAGCAATGACCTGACTTAAATTAAATTTTATTAAACACAAAGTATTACATTCAAACCAATCATCAAATACAATATATACCATTTCTAAAAAATTATCAGTGTAGAACTTATTTGAATAATAAAACATACTGTTTTATGCATTCTGGGATGCCAACGTATTCCATGGGGATGAGTTCAGCTAGTTCTGCCAGGGTAAAGACATACCTAATTTTTTGGCTGAATTTTGAGCTGTGGAAGAACAAATGCAGGGTACAGGTCAATATTAAAACAGGTTTTAAAGTTTAAAGGAAACAGTTGTTAGGATTTTTTTTTTTTTTTAAAGAAATAGCTTCCAGAGTATTACCTAATAAAAGGTTTTGTGATTGCCAGAAGCGTTCTGATGAACCAAGAAGGATGAACTATGATTAATGATTTCAGATTTTTCCTTAACCTGAAGAATTCAAACAGCAGACATAATTACTAGAACAAAAAGACAGCACGACAACAAGGGGTTTTTTAATACATAAAAAGTGTGTTTTTACAAGCACAACTGTCAACTCTAGCATTCTGACATTCCATTATTAAAAATTACCATCTACCAGAAGAAAAAAATACCACAGCATTGTACAGTCAAAACTTAAAGATACAGTATCAGTTTGACGACAATGACAAAGAAGTAACATTCCAAAGAGAAGTTCTTTGAATATTTTCACACAATGAAGCGCTACACGAAGGACCCCTCTTATTACCTTATGACATTAATACATTAAGTTTTAGGGATATTCTACATGGTAACAGTATTAAGTATTCTATATTATCCCTAAAAAAAACCAACAAAACCCAGGCATGCCTGTAGCATTATTCCACACTGTCTAGCTTAGGAAGAGGTTTTCAATACAACAAGCAATTTGCTTAATTAAGTCTTAACCAGTAGGTACCAGACACCACATTAAACAGCAGGTTTTCCTACATATGTATATCACTGAGCATGTGATTACTGTAAGAAAACACTGTGGAGCTTCTTACCTTCTATCAATTTGCTGGTAACATTTCCTAAGCCAGCCTAAACTTGGCATTTTTCTCCGTGTTGTTGCACCGTTCAGGTAAACTATCATATAGTTTTCTGCTACTAACAGCTCTAAAGTGCCAATTACATACCTGCAGAGACAAGCAAAGAAAACCTTCAAGTGAAGATGTGCAGATATTAAAGTAATTCCTAGTAGTGTTCAAATTATTTAAAAAGCATAGCGTTGGCAACAGTGTTGAGCAGCATCTAATATTTTTTTTTTCCTTCCCCTGGCAGATGTAATTGCTTTTCTATTTGTTACCTTTCCCTCATCTGAAATATAAAAAGCTTCATTAAAAAGAGAGAGGAGCAATTGCCCTTACATTAAACTGCTAAGTTTCACAAGGTGAAATTCAGACAGTGTTCAGAGGCAGAGGACTTACTTAAATAGATTGTCCATTAGGTATCTGTAGTTAGGCTGGCTGCTTTCAGGCATAAAGCAAACAGCAAACACAACAATGGCATTTAACCCATCACCATAATAACCTACAAACAAAGGAAAAAGTAGCAGTCGTGACAAAGGTGACTAAACATCAACTACATTTACACAAAGTCAAGCCCATTCAGTAAGCTTTTTCATTATTTACCTTAGAGATCTACACACATCTATTCTACATGGACAAATTCATATAGTTACACAAAACCTCAACATTTCTTTTTCAAGTTTGTCTACTTCTAAAGAAACAGCTGAAGTTGATGTAAAACAAATGTTGTACCTACAATCAACACCTCAGTATAGAATCTCAGTACATTTAATAACATTTTATATCATCAACTTTTCTTCCAACCTAAACTCCACAGATTGTTGGGAAAAGTCATTGAATCAATTTATGTCTTATTATCTACCATTAATGCTTTCCACACTCTTAAAACCATCCTACATACGCGTATGTCAGTAGCTTCGTCTGAACATGTGTACATTTTGAAACGTTAATAGGGAAAAAGTATTAAATCAACCACACGCCTTAATGCTGCAACAAACAAATCATCACATGAGTCTTTATGCCCAAAGCTCTTCCTGTGCCACCCCAACTCGGCTTCAAGAGGTAGTTTCTCAACAGTTCCCCTCAACACATCACTAATCCTTACCACCGTGACTGATAACTTTTTTATACGGTTCAATTGCCTTCATGTCCACCCTATGGTCCTGTTCTCCAATCCTAAACATCCGCCAGCGTCGATCATCATCCTTCTCCTCTGCTGCAGTGTATTCAGTAAGTGACCCTTTCCTAATTACATCAGTAGTTTTTGGTTTCGGAAGATCATCTGCCAAAGTCAAAACACGTTCAAGATCCATTATAAATACTATGTGTAGTGACAATCATCTACAACACAGGTTAACCACTTTGCTATCTAATCTACTTTAATATTCTTTAGCCAGTCAGACATATCAGCTGACTTGGTTCCTTCACTCATAACAAAATAGGATCTCGTAAGTGTTGTACACATTCTATCAAAATAGTCTATGTCGGTAGTTATCCGTTGACCGTAATTTTCTGTGCTAAGGTACAGGACAAATTTCCATTCATGTAGGAAGCCAATTTAATTGCAGGCTTTCAGAACACAGACCTTGGTGAATCCCACCAAAATAGACAAAGTGGTTAACCCAAATGATAATTACACAGGTTGCTTGATCACAGATTTACAAAAAAGCACGATTTAAAACATTGACAGTACCTTGCAAGCAGACATGCAGGCAAATCTATTAGAAATTAAATCTAATTCATGTGTGTGCAATCAATATATATGAAATTTATGCTGACAGCAATCTGCAAAACAATTTGCTCCAATTAAATTATGATTCTTGACTTTGTTGCATAGACCTTACCCAAAGCGAGAAAAACCTACTGCAAGTTAGTTGTCTGTTCCCAAGACAAAGCTGTTAACTGAAACTATCCTTCCAGGAAAATGAAGACAGCAGCATTAAAGGAAGAAAAGACAGAAACCCTTTTCAGCCACTTTTAAAAAAAACCAAAGCACAAACACCCAGAACATTTCCTTCACAAGCAAATGTGTTAGCAAAACTAACCCTAAATTCTTCTTCACTAAAATGATGAAAAACCTTTTACACCAGTAGAGCCACAGTCACTGTTATGAAAACTTCACCTGCAATATGTCTTTAACTATTTAAAAAACACCCCCACCCTGCTCTAAAGACTGTTTATTTCCCCATTTCTAAGCTACCTCAGAATGAAGAGCAGATAATGTTCCATATGTAACAGTGAAAAGAGTGCTTCCTGTTTAGTCAGGAATTAAACTTATTTTATTTCCAGAATAAAAAAAACCCAATAATTGAGTTTACATGTTACAGACATTCTTAGGTCATTGAAGTTTACAGAAGTCAAAGACTCTGACCCACACAACAGTTCTCAGCTTTCATAAAAGGGCCTTAAAACATAATTAAACTGCAAGTTTAAAATTCGTGTTTTAACTCCTACACAGAACCTTTACCTCAAAAAAAAATTATTAGCATCTCCAGGTTTTGCCTGTAAGAATAAGATGAGCATCTATTAATTTCTGAAAATTAAGATCATTACTAGTGTGGCTATAGCTAAGTTACCATCCTGTCAAATCATTTCAGAATTCCTTGACACAAAATAAAGGCGTTTCTACCACTTTCAGCCAATCCAGAAAGCATATGAAATCTGGCTACTGACCCTTTGCCATTCTCACCACAGTAAGATACAAGATCAGGTGTTACTCAATATTTTTAAAAATACCATTCAGTCCTCCTTAAATACAAAGGCTTGCAATTCATCGATTTCTGACAAGCTAATCTATATCCCTTTGTATAGTTCACCTCTATTTAAAAAATGCTAACACGTGTAAAACACCTTCAACATTTTTTTCCCCAGGTTGGTTCTTAAACACACTGCAGAGAGGATTTTCTGTAACTTTGAGTCTTACAGGTGTTTAATGACATTCACCCAAGTTTATTTGGAGTTACAGCTATTATGATGTTGCCTGTTTACTAATCAGTCAAGGTCTGATTCGCTCTTTAAAAACTCATTGCACCTATTTCCAATTTCTAATCTAATCATTCCCTTTATATTTTTCCTCTTATAATATTGAGTAATAGTTATTTCCCACCTGAAAAACTGTTGACTGAAAACAGAAATATTGTAGGGCATCAGACAAAAGTAATAAAATACTTACCTTCCCATTCAAACTCATTGCTATTTTCTGAAGGAGTATCTAAATCATCCAAATCAATCTCTCCACTCTCATCCAAATCATCAGACAAAACAGATTCTTCACTGCGATCCAAAGTTAAGCTAATATCTGGAGCCATTAGTTTCTTCCTCACTTTGGTTCCATTAACCTCTGTATTTAAAAAAGCAAATTATTTCTTTCCAAAGCTAAAGCAAGTTTAGATAAGCATATTAACCAGACAGAAGATAACAGTGCTTTCTCAGAATGTTTACCCAACTGCATGCCCACTATGATCATCAGTGGTAGACCACCACACTCCCTACAGAAGAGAAACCTGAAGTGCTGCCACCACCTAAGCAGCTGTTAGCTACACCACGTTAACTGTATCAAAGCATACCATAAGTCGTTCTAGATATTATACTAAGTAAGTCTTGCAAATAACCCAACAGATTCATGTTCGTAGCCCTTGTTTTTGTTAGGTATTGGTAACATCATAACCATCTTTGATGAAATAAAAGATAATACACAAGTTGCAAAATAAATAAATAAAAAGGCTGGCAGACAACAGTGAGGACAAATGAAAGAAAACACTAGGGAATACACAGCATGCTTTGAGACGCAATGCAAAAGCTTGCGTGATTTAGACAGCAGATGAAAGCAGGGAATAAAATAAAATGACTGAGCCAGCAGTTGAAATGCCACAACTAAAGCTGACAGACAAGATATGAGAAAAATTAAAAATGTAAAAAAAACCCACCTGTATTATTTCTGCTCTAACCATTTGGACAGGCAACATTCTTAAAGGCCATAAAGGTCTGAAATTTGAGCTGAAACTATGGTAAGCCCTAATTGATGCACAGATTCAAATAATGAACCAAGATTTTAAGACAGGTCAGGAAGTAAGCGCAGTAATTAATTTTTGTCCAGTATTACCTGGATAGCTCTGTTCATAGGGAGGATGAACAGTCTCATATTTTATTCCAAACCCCTTGTTCTTCTAGACAGGACGTTTATAATACCCTTCACACACAAAAGTGTCATTCAGAATGCTGCTTCCTCAAGCCCGACTCAAAAACAAAAAAATCCCAAAACCATCCTAAAACAAAATGGAGCTTTAAAAGAGCCATCTAAGTCGAAAGCAGTCAGCTTGACTGGAGCAGAAGGTTCTTACCAGCTTCACTTCCCGTTCCAGCTGCAGCTAGTACACCCGACTCAACAGGATCATCCTCTGGCAGGGGCCTGGGGCACAAAGTAGAAGCTATTGTCACAAAACATTTTCTTTGTTTTTTAAACAGCCAGCTAAATGCCAAATATTTAGACTTAAGCCCTGCTAAAACAACAACACTGTGGGATAGCAGGGAACTAAATTTACTTATAGCCTAAGTTCAAGTTTTCAGTAAACAAAGCACCAAAGTAGCAGAAAATTCCTTTACAGCATTCGAGCCACCATCTGTTGACGTGACAAATGCCAAAATACCAGTCACTACTAGTGTGTGTCACCCTTAAGAAAATTTGTCATATTCTTGCTCAAGAAAATTCAATATTAAATACCTTACAGAAGTAGTTTAGTCATGTTGTTATAGAATGCCTCTGAAGTCAGCAGATTTAGTTTCTTTGTAGGCCCAAGCACTGCTGGCAGTCTTAACTTAAAAATTTTGCTCAAAAATGTTGCTTAATGAAAGATTTGGGCCTTCAGACACCAGCAATAATAAGCAAACAATGTAGTTGCAAAAGATTACTACAGAAAACAAACAAAGCCAAACTTAAATATTTTCACTTTAGTAACACTGGAAACTTCAACAGCAGCATTCCTGTATTACTTAATTGACACAGGAACATGAAGGGATCCCTTTCCAGACCATAAACATGCCACAAAGCCTTTTCAAGACTACTGTGTTAATGGAAATCACTTCCAGGTCACCACTGAGTGTTAGTTCACCAGGAAGATAGAAGTAGCTTATTCCCGATGTTATGCATTTGACTTGAATTACTTTAATAAAAAATTAAAAACCTTGGAAAATCTTCATCTTGCCATTCTTCCTTAAACTCAACACCTTCCATTCTCCGGCCAACTTGAACTGCTAATACAGACTCCTGCTCAGCCAGAACCTTGTGTCTTCAGGACCGTGGGCTAAAAAGGAGCTGCAGGAACATAACAGAAGATGCTGGTTCAATACGTGAGACACATCCTTTCACTTACCACCAAGCTGAGGTATTACGCAGAAAAAAACCCAAGAAGTTTATTATTTGTTTCCATTTTATTATTTTTTCGTACAAAACTGCTTATAGAATGGTTTATCACACAATTTAGGTTGGAAGGGATCTCATGTAATCCAGTGCCCTGCTTAAGCAGGATCAACCTCTCTGTTAAAATCAAGGCCCTGAGCAACCTGATCTATCATTTTGGATGACACCAGTTCACTCCAAACTGAGAAATCTGTCAGCTCTCTAGATTCTATAGGAGATACTGAACAAGTGTATATTTTGAGGAAAAAAAAACCAACAACCACACAAACAGATTGTTCAGATCTAAAATACAACCCAGTTCTTAAAAGAAAACCCCATACACTTTAAAGATAACTATTTCAGAAAGTGTTTTCAGAGAACTCACCCTGTGATGTGCAAGTCAAGCTGTGTTTTTTCAGGCTCACCCATCACCAGCAACAAGGAATCCCCGATACTGGAACACGATAAACCATTCTGCTGACATACAAGTCCAAGCCAGATGAAGCTCTTGGATGCGTTGGCTCTAAAAATTGGCAGGAACGGGTAAACTTATCAATGAAGACGTTAATAAAGTCAACACTAACCAAAAGAGGAAACAGCAATATTTTCAAGTGCGAAGCAGTAATCAACAGAGAACACGAGTAAATACAAAGTTGGAACGCAATCATACTGCTAATTAAGCCAGAAAGACAATTTATTTTCTACATGGCTAAAAAGAAACAAGTTACACTTACTGTTCTGTAGGATTACCTTTCACAACCGATCTCAAATTGTCTTCTGACCTGATTACAACCACAGACTGTTTTTAAAACATCCTGTAATGCTTAAAGCTACACTACACAAGCTGATTAATACAAAAAAAAAAAACCTGATTTTTTTCTAAACTGCAACACCAGAGACAAAACACTAATGACCAAAACTCAAGCTTATTTTACTGACATTTCCCTGCTTCCCTCAGCCAGAAAATTGAAATAAAATTTCTACAAAGTAGCAACCTAGTTCCTCTCAAGGGTCAGACTCTCCTTGTTTGAGTCATTCAGCCCCTGCACTGCTCAGTGGCTGGCAGTATGTGCCTGTGCACACAATCTCCAAGAAGTTGCCCCCAGCAATTTTCCTCCCAGCTTTCCCTGTTTCTATTTGTCCTTTCTAAGTAATATGCTGTCTGTAGCAGTTTCTTGCTGCTTGAATCATACGACTTTCCTCATGAAACATGCCCTCTCTTTCATTAAGACGACTATATGCTCTGCGTAGTTTCTGCTGGGTACCAACCTGCTAAGTCTTTGCAAGAACAATTTTAAATTTTTGCTTGGAGATAAGATCATATTTTGATCAGTAGTAACAGTGAATATGTGCTTAGTTCTTTATGCATCTGTTTCAGGGCATGAGAAGCACAAGGGGTTTCACAAGGTACCCTACGCAGTCACGTGAGCAGAGCGGTTACAATCAGCACGCAACAGACCATCTGATGTGAAGACACCATTCACTGTAAACGGACACTAAACCTGAAAGAACATCTAAACTAATGACCTTATTCTTAAAGGACAGATGAAGAAACGAAGAAAACTGACACTAAAAAACCCACCACCACAAACCAACCCCATCACTGTGCTGGTGGCTATACGGTGCTACTCTTGGAGCTCGCCTGCACTGCATTCACAACACACTTCCGACAAGACAGTTTAAAGTAGGCTTTTGCTCCACGACTTGAACAGTGTCCTCACCATACTTTTGAAGAACACCAAGCACTAAGTAATACCCATTAATTTCAGATGTACCACATTTCAGTGCGGAAGCAATCCTTACCTGCATGTTTTTCATTACATTGAGATAAACTTAATACACTAGGACAGAGTGTAAAAGTTACTCATGCTGTAACCAAAGTTTAAGACACTTTTACAAAATACTTCTCCCATTACTTGCAGAATTCTCATCAGCAGCTTCTCATCAAGGTAGACTTGAAAGCAATCATTCCCCAAATACTGCATAGTACAATTGCAAACAACTTGGAAGGCAAGTTCCAAGTTCAACATCAGATAAGTTTGAATTTAGGTTTTCAGCAGACTAAGTAGTTGGTTTGGATGTTTCAAAGCTTCACCTATAAAAGCACTATCATTTGCCAACTAGAAGACTAAGAAATTGAGGAAGACAAATCTTAGGGAAATGATGGTGCCCATGTACTCCGCACTGGTGAGGCTGTACCTCGAATGCTGTGTGCAGTTTTGGGCCCCTCACTAGAAGGAGGACACTGAGATGCTGGAGTGTGTCCAGGGAAGGGCAACGAAGCTGGTGAAGGGTCTAGAGAAGAAGTCTTGTGAGGAGCGGCTGAGGGAACTGGGGTTGTCTGGTCTGGAGAAGAGGAGGCTGAGGGCAGACCTTATCGCTCTCTACAACTGCCTGAAAGGAGGCTGTAGTGAGGTGGGGGTCGATCTCTTCTCCCAAGTAACAAGTGACAGGACAAGAGGAAATGGCCTCAAGCTGTGCCAGGAGAGGTTTAGATTGGACATTAGGAAAACTTTCTGTACTGAAAGAGTGGTCAAACATCGGAACAGGCTGCCCAGGGAAGTGGTAGTCACTGTCTCTGGAGGTGTTCAAAAAAACATGTTGATGTAGCACTTTGGCACATGGTTTAGTGGGCATGGTGGTGTTAGTCAACCGTTGGACTTGATGATCTCGGACGTCTATTCCAACCTAGTGATACTACAATTCTCAAGAAAGTTAGAAAAGTGCTGACTTCAAAGTTAACTACTGAATAATTTTACATCACGAATATAAATGCTTACAAAGCAGGGGGAAATTCTACTAATTCATATGAACTAAAGCAGAGTTTAGAATAGTGCTCCTACAGCTGCTGTGGTAGCACTGACATCATCTGGTTTTACTATGCCAAAGTCTCTTTAATTCAGATGTAAATCAAAGATCTAAAAGCTAAACTTGAAAACTGTGATATATTGTAACAAGACAAGTATTTATTAGTCATGTAAAAGAAAAGCAATTAATTTCTACCTGATCCTAGCACTGTTCATGGCCAAGAAGTCATGCCTTCTGAGAACAGCAAGCCTGATCATTTTTACTTTCCGTTTTACTTAAAGAAATGCAACTGGAAGATTGGGAGGCTAGCTAAGGGTCAGAAACTTCAACACATCAAAGAACACCCGGATGCACGACTGCCACGTGGTTCTACTCTCTTACTGGAACCACTGGACTTCAGCGCTCAACAACGCCTTTCAGATTTTCAAGCATCCCAACAGGCAAGTTACAATATTACAAAAATAAAAGTAGTATCACAAGGGAACACATCGGTAAAACCCACTACTCTTCTACTACAGCTACGAATGGATTTCCGTTTCCAGCACACAGCTTAAACCTACTTCAGTTTGCTTAAGAACAATATTACTGCTTGCACCAGAAGTCAAACGTCACTGTTCTCATCCTTTTTCCTGGAACAAGAGATAATTTTCAGAGTTCTGTCATCACAACCCAGCTGACTTCGCTGCGGGTGCTGGAATACCACATACAACACTTACGAAGCCTATTATGAATCATCATCTTTTTAAAATTTGGTTTACAGCTAAACAAAGACTCTAATCCATTCCAGGTACTTAAGAGGGGGAAAAAAAAAAAAAAAAACAAACAACAAACCAGAATGCAAGAGATCATTTTATTCATGAAGTTAAAGACCCCTTGTAAAAATTATTTTTTAAGTTTTCACCCCTGAGTTCTCAGAATACACAAATAAAGAGCTACACGTTTATATGGTCATATCTGCCGATACAAAGACCAATACTCAGTCCTTGACCAGCACCTCAGCATTTGAAGCAGAATAAATATAAATGTATTTTGCAAGACAACTGCAGTGATGAGCACACTCTTCAACTATCTACCTGAGTGGCAAAGAAGAGCATGCTGTTTCTGTCTCAGAAAGCAAATATCAATGTCAGAAACAGGTTAGCCTACTTTTTTCTACATTTCACCTTTACCATTTCAGCAGAAACATGAACTGAGCGTTAGTTAGTTAAGGGAATTCCAGGTTCCAGGCATTAAAGCGGTACCTCTAAGAGTATTTTTCATATTTGATTTTACAGTAAGCCAAAAGTAAGGAAGAGATCTATTTTCTGGTACACGCAACCATGTGGTGCAGCTCACTATAATTTGTGAGTGGTTTTTTCCAACCCCATAGGCTTTTAGAATGTAGCCACACTAAAGACTGTCGCCAGGAAATATTTCCCAGATCTGAAGACTGACATCTAAACTTTATCACTTGCAAGTTTGCATAACGAGGTGATGTAAAGATTTCCACTAGTAACAAATCAATTCCCATCTCCTTTTACTCCCCTCTCTCAGCAAAGCACAGAGAAATCAGTCAGCTAAAAGAGAAAACTTTTCAAACCACTCTTGCTTTCATCTCCAAGGATACCACTTTAACTTCACATTCAGAGCAACTGAAGAATCTGCATTTCTGAATCACAGAGATTCATTCAAAGGTAAATACTAACTTGTCAGCAACAGTTAAAAAGAATTTATACCTTGCTTGAATACATTCAATATTCCTTCATAAAATTTAAATATGCATACGAGTCAACCAGAAATAATAAATTACTACTTAAGTGTATTGCATTAGTAGCTGGAGACAAGGAGGACCTAAAATAAAAGGCACTAGAAAACAACTTGACTTCTGCAACACAGCTTTACACCGTGCATTTGCTAAATCTACATGGGAAAAAGTTATTCCACTCACACACCCCACTTATCATTCAGCCACACAAGACAAAGG